CACGTTAGGCAAATTGCAAGGGTCAAAGTATGCGGACGATGTCGACCACATCCGTGAATGCTTTGACAAAACCACGAAACTGAGATTCCGTAGCACGGACGAATGGTCTTACATCAGATTTGGTCGTCCTAAGGACAAAGACGAGGCGCTCAACATAGCGAACGGTCAAATGAAGCTGTCAGGGTGCGTACTGGGTCTTTATTATTACGTGCAGCGCAACGTGTAATTAATTGTTGGCCATAGTGCGGTTGTCGCAGGGTTCTTCCGACCCTCACTGGACGCAATCGTGCTCGCTATCTTGAACCAATCCAGCTCCGCCCTCGTTCCGATATCGGTGGGTCCTTACGTCTTTCCCCACCTAATATTCGCTCAACCCTCGTTTACCGAATGTAGTCCGTCCTTCTCGTCGGCGGCTTTGCGGCCAGCGAATGGTTGTATTCGGAGCTGAAAGAAAAAATGAGTACACGCGGATTGGAGGTGTCGCGGCCTGATTCTCACGTGTATGTGAAATTTCAGGCGACGCTTTGTCTAAACATCTCACGATCTCGCGCAGAAACAAGGCCGTCGCCGACGGAGCAGTGTCCTTCTGTCTGGATCATTTCGTGTCGGCGAGGATCTCAAAGCACACCTATGGACTGAAATGTGCTGTCATCTACCAGGCCAAGAATGCGGAACATCGTACTCGGTCCCAAACTACCACAATGGATGTGGATGGAAATATCTGGGTCCCAAACAAGTTTTCGTCGATCTTGAAGAAGGTATATTCTAATTCCTTCGTCGACTTCGATGACTTAATAATCTTTGACAGAATATTCGTGTGTCGGAGACTAGAGAATTCCGGGAGACTTACGTCCACCTCGAGAAGGATCCCACGAAATTACGGACTGCAAGTATCGCCCTATTGCGTTACGACGGGCAAGATGAAGATCCAACTTGGACGGATATCGACTCAGGTAAGTGAGTTGTGCGTTCAATAAATTCAATGGCTAACATATGGCATAGGTCGATACTCTGTACTGTGTCAAGTCCGTGCAGATACATCCCAGATCGCCAAAGCTCTCAAGCGACGGCAGGGCGCACTCGGGCCCTACTACTGCCTTCAATTTGATGTGGTTCTCTCTTTCGGTCTGACTGAACTAAAGGCGCAGATCGCCTGGGAAGAGAATGTGAGCATTTAAACACCGCGTATGATCTAACACCCGAAATTAACATCCCGAAATGATAGGGAGTTGAGAAAAGGTACAATATTGCTTGTCTCCCAGACGTAAAATGTCCTGATTCAACTCCGCAGAGGGCCCGCAGAACTTGTCTACTAATATTTTGGGACACCGCCACCCTGGGTAACTCTGAGGTTGAATCCCGCACACCGCCATGTAACCTTAGTTTCTTGAACAAATTCGACCTCTGCTGTGAACAGAACATAAATACCGATCTGCTGTACCGGCTTGTGTCAGATTCTACGAGATGCTGCGGCTATTGGGTAATAAGATTGTTTTGCAACAGCGTGCCAATGTCTCCGCGATGTGCTGAGCCGAAGAAATAAGCAAAATTCCCCGCCGAAATTCAGATAGTCGTGTCGTCGGCGCCGTCAATTTATGTAGCTCGGTCAATCTCCTGATTGAATTCAGGCATTCCAGCCACGCTTGAAATTCCATCATGATGTAATCTTCCGACATACGGCGTACCTTCTTCATCGCCGACCCATCTGAGTAACGTCAGTCCCAACGTCGTAAACTGAATGATGAATGTACTGAGACAGCAGGCTTCCAAGGTTAGACATTTCCTCCCCCACACATCCACCGCGTCCCATATTCCATCGTGCTTCTTGAGGTGGTGACCTTGGACTTCGAACGCGAGATGCCTAAGGCGCGTAAAGCCTGGAAGGCCCAGTGTGATATGGCCAACCGTTGCCTAAGTTTAATTCAGTGAACCCTATCGAGCAAGATTATTTAGAGAAACTTACATCGTCCATCACCCTGCCGAAGATCATGCATTGAAGACGACGAACCGTGGCGTGTGGCAGGTGTATCGATAGAGCCGTCATGAGCGAAGTGAAGCAAAAAGCGCAGTATTCGTGAGAGGAGCGAAACGGAGCGGTGGGACGGGCCAGCGAATTCGGTGCAACGAGAATCCGCTTCATCTCGGTGCTTGAAGTGTCGCGGGGGTTTCATTGGAGTCGGGCTTCCCGCAATTCGCTTTCCACCATCACAGGGATAAGGCACGCTGGGCCATCAAAGTACCGAAGATTGGGTAGGGGAACGAGCATTGAGAATTGAGGGCGGCCTGATCCAGTCATCGGGATTGAAGTGGCATACATTGTTAACGCGAACGCGGGCAGTGAGACTCGGATGGCGTGTCAAAAATGATGCAAGCATGTCGCCTGCATCGTTGCCCAAGGAAACCGGCTCTGCAGATATATCGCAGGTGAGGAGCCTAGGAAAGGTGCAGGATTGTAACAATGCCCGATGGCTGGGGGTGGTATCCAGAAAGAAGTGGTACAGAGACAGATGTTCGAGTCATCAAGTCCATTGAAACAATGAGGAACTCTTCCAGATACTTTGCCCTGCAGGAGTGTTGACGGTCATGGTGCGAAACTAAAAAATAACTAACCAATATGCTTGGCAGCCTCGACTCATGTACGAGCCTTTGAAGGACCGGATTGCACCTGCTTGAGAAGGGTCGCTGATCATGGCAAAGAACAATCCGCTAGTGCTGTAGTCGGCGCCATTTCTGAGATGTACGGTGCCGCTAGGCAGAGATCGTGAAACAGTTTGGACACTTGGCACAGAGATGCTTGGTCTGCCTTTTATGCTGCCTCCATTCTTCGACAATCATCTCGTGGGGAAGCTATTCGGTAATCCCTTTGCGTTGTTGCGTCGAAAGCATGGTAGCCGTTTTGGTCCAAGTCAGATTTGGCCGAACGGACGCGGATCAACACGATCAAATCAATCTTTGACTACAACGTCCACCATGGTTTTGACTCGTCGGGCGTACAAAGCCATAGCGCGATGGCTTCCCAACGAAATCATCACCGAGATCATTCAGGCTGCACCGCAGTCCGACCGGGCGTCTCTCTGTCGTGCGTCCAAGCTTTTTCACGTCCTCTGTCTGCCCGGTCTGTACCGCGTCGTACACCTCCAAACTCGCGCCTCCGCCGAGGCTTTTGGTCCTACTATTCTGTCAAATACTGCACTAGCCCCTCTAGTCCGGTCGTTTACGATAGATGACAGGTGTTTCTTAAGCTTAGGGCCAAAGCGAGTCGTTTAGCTACATACACATAAAATCCGTTTAATCGTTGACATGTCTCTCCCATAGGCTCTCCCCCCTAGTACTGGATGTGTGCAAAACACTCTCGAAACTTGAGGATTTATCAATGCCCCTTTCATCCATAGCAGATCTTGGGGAGCTGCTGCTCTGCACATTTCCCCAGCTTACCAGATGCAATATGGGCTCTAAAGCCTATCGCGAGTGGACTTCTAAAGAGAAGGACGACCTGGTAGCCTTCCTTCTTCGCCATCCAGCATTATCAGCCCTCTATATTCCGGCAATCTATCCCACGCCGACAACTCGTCTGCCCCTGGACCGTCTGCAGCAGCTTAACTGCGCAGCCGCGTTAGTTCCTTTCATCATTGCCCACAATTTACATGAGGCGAGTCTCGACTGGTATGGCCGCAAGGGCGGTGTACACTTCAACGTCGAAAAAACTATCATTGCACTCAAATCGATGACACGCACCAATGCTTCGTTTGTCTGTTCCATCACTGTTTGCACCCTGCAATTTACAGAGATTGTGGACTCCATATCGAGGAATCTACCGCACACGAAGACGCTGCGCCTTATGCTGAACCTGCCATTCTTCAATGTTGGTATCTCTTGGTGTTTCGCTCGCTGCACCCTGTTTACCTTCATTTAGCCGCAAGATCCTCTCATGAACTGTCTCCCGTGTTTTACACGTCTGGCATTTCTGTCGTTGGAATGCTTGCCCCGGCTCCACAACAACAAATTTATCCACACGCTCCGGGACACCGAGGAAGAAGACCATCAAATCGCTCAAGCATTTGGAGACGTGTGCCCGACATTAGAGGCGTGTCGTTTGAGCGAGTAATCCTCCCTGTATTATTGGACGGATGCTGACATTCTACAGATCGCTCCGCCTGGAGGAATGCCAGCGGGGCGTGGGAGAAGTATCCTATAGAAAATTTTCGAGAGATGGCCGGAATTTCTGAGTTTTCTTGGTGAATGAAATGCTGGGAGTGGGCTGGTATCCCCGAGTCTGAACTCGATTCGGCCTCCTGGTGTCCGACCGAGTAATATGTATTTTCCTTCAGTTGTGCGATTACGCCTGCCCTTGAAATTAAGGGGAATTGAGGGTGCACAGGAACAGCCCCATCTTTGGAAGAACTCGGAGACTTTTCCCCGCACACATGTAGAGAAAGGATTGCAAGTCCGCCGACGGTGTGTGTGCAGTCTGTACCGTGTCGTCGGTGCTTTCATAGTCTTGCGAGTCGACTTGATCTCATATGTTGAGTCTGAGATTGGAGAGTCGAGACACCTACATAACGTAGGTGCAGTGAAATCTGTTCAATATTATTTAAAATTTGCTTAATTTTTGGCCAACCACCCTCAGAAGGAGAATATGTGCCAATGGTTGAGGAACGGAATCGTGCCAATCCCATTCCTGTCTTCCGAAACTCATCAATAAATTCAGGTGCAAGATAGACAGGATAAGACCTGGTGGTGCGCGGTGCACACCCACTCAAACTGCGAATTTGACTGACAGTGTTCACGTCCGTTCGATTCGGGGCCGGGTCATTCATCCAAAGTCCATATTTTTTTTTGTTCAACTTTGCAGGGACAATGCAAATGTAGTTGGGCAATAATTTATGTTTTCATAGAAGCAGAATTCAACACATAGTCTAGAGATGTATGTGAGAATCTTGGTCTTGAGAACTTGCCTCCCGAACTCTTCAATTAATTCAGGTACATGATAGAGAGGATAAGACCTGGTGGTGCACGGTGCACACCCACTCAAGTTAGAGGGTTGTCGGAGTTCAAGTGGGAGGTCCCTGTTCGATTCGGGGTCGGGTCATGTACTCTGACGTTTCATATTTTTTTTTGTTCAGCTTTGTAGGGACAATGCAAATGCAGTTGGGCAATTATTTATGTTTTCATAGAAGCAGAATTCAACACATAATTCAGGTACAGGATAGAGAGGATAAGACCTGGTGGTGCATGGTGCACGCCCACTCAAGTTAGAGGGTTGTCGGAGTTCAAGCGGGAGGTCCCTGTTCGATTCGGGGTCGGGTCATGTACTCTGAGGTTTCATATTTTTTTTCTCATTCAGCTTTCAAGTTGTAGGGATAATGCAAATGCAATTGGGTAATTATTTGTGTTTTAATAGAAGCAGAATTCAACACAAGGTCTAGGGATGTATGTGAGAATCTTGGTCTTGGAAATTCAAGTTGTGTTGAGAATGCCTGAATAAATTCAGGTGCAGGATGGAGGGGATAAGACCTGGTGGTGCGTAGTGCACACCCACTCAGCTTTGGCGTTCGAAGATATTCATGTGGGAGGTCCCCGTTCAATTCGGGGCCAGGTCATAATAGTCGGGCCCGAACATGTTCTTTTTTAAAACGCGCGCTGGGTGCTTTGATTGGTTGGGTGCCATCCGAACTCATTCAAGTAATTTTGGTGATTTTTCGTGGAAGCAGAATTCAACATGTTGCACAATAGGGGAAGTCAAAGCTAGCAAGGAGGGCCGATTCATGGCCGATTCCGAGACCGATTCTGAAATCGATTCTGGGGTCGAGAATCGGTCGAGATTCGCTGAATCGGCTGAATCGGTGTTCCTGCTCGAGAGGAGGAACTCATCAGAATCGGTCCCGATTCTTGACACCCCGATTCTGATCACTGAATCCGAGTGTGAATCGATTTCCCGAATCGCTCGCTGAATCAAGCTCGGAATGGGTCGGTCAGAGTACCGACGATTCTCATCCGATTCTGTGCATCGATTCTGACGAGAATCGGCTCCAGAATCGAGCCATGAATCGGCCCTGCCTGACCGCTTTGACTTCCCCTAATGCAAAGGCTAGATCATGTCAAGCAGATTCCTGGCTCCAGAAGTCTTTGATAAATTGGGGTGCAGGATAGAGGGCATAAGACCTGGTGGTGCACGGTGCACACCCACTTAACTTCATGATTCGACATCCCTTATGTGGGAGGTCCCCGTTCGATTCGGGGTCAGGTCATGTTCGGGTCGGTAACTGTTTTTGAACTCTTTAAAGTTTTTTACCTTTATTTGTCTAGCCTCACTGGCCATGGTACCTGGGCTAAAGCTTTAGTGATACCACAGTTTTTCCGAACAAAATTCAATGTATTGGATGTTTGTTGCTTGAATTTTCTGACCACTGGTAGGTTCCTGCTTCCAGAGGTCTTCGATAAATTCAGGTGCAAGATAGAGATATTTAGACCTGGTGGTGCGTGGTGCGTGGTGCACATCCACTCAACTTACATCATGGCTAGCGCCCCAAGATTGGTGTGGGAGACCCCTGTTCGATTCGGGGCCAGGTCATGTTTGTGGTGGCTTCTTTAAAGTTTTTTTGTCTAAGCCTACTGGCAATAACCCACTAGTAGTTTCCTGCCTCCAGAACTCTTCGGTAAATTCAGGTGTAAGATAGAGAGATAAAGACCTGGTGGTGTGTGGTGCACACCCACTCAACTTTCATGATTACCGGAATTCAAGTGGGAGGTCCCCGTTCGATTCGGGGTCAGGTCATCACGAAGAAGTCTTGATCTTTTTTTCCCCCGCTTTTTCCCCTACCTGCCTCTTGGTGCGTGTTTCATATTCCTGTTTAATGTGGGCATGGTTAAACATTGCGACGATGCTTGGTTGCGTTTCAGGGGCCGGATCGGGTATGTAGCTGACCAAGCGGGATGATGGGGATCAAAGGGCTGAGATTCTCTCGCCGTCGAGCCAACGTCGAGTTCCTCTTTTGTCCGTCGCCAGCTCCTTCTTGCCCACGCTCCTTACCCCACGCATGTAACACCCTCAAAATCAACTCACAAATACACATAGCTTATAATTGACAATGGGTGCGTCTCCCTGCTCGTTTTGCGGATTGTGCTGACAGGCGTCTGTAGCTTCCAATGGGTGGGTAGTTATGGCATTTCGGGAAGAGTACATAGGTGGCTTATGGGAGACGGGGACGCAGCGCATCCTCCGCCTCTGTCATCGGGACGAGCTCCGCGTTGGTCACGGTATCCGCCACGAGCGACCCCGGCAGCGGCAGCAGCGTCGCCCCGCCGCCCGTCTCGGACACCACCTCGCTCTCCGTGAGCAGCAGCACCACGACCACCAGCAGCACCCCCAGCACCTCGAACACGGAGACCAGCACGAGTGCGCTTCCCCCGACGATAAGTGCGCCGGTGACGACGAGCCCGACCGAGACCGTGGCGGTGACGACGTCGACGGGTGCGGGCGGGAGCGTCGTCACGCTCACAAGCACGCGCGCGGTGACGCAGAGCGCAGCGACGGCGACCACGAGCGCGGCGGTCAGGAGCAGCTCGAATGGGTGAGTGGATCCCCGTTTTTTTGTGCGGGGTAGTGGGCCCCTGTCCCCGACTCGTTTTTCACTGGCTGGTTTCTTTCCTGCGCTCCTTGCCATTCCCTTCTCCGCCTTGCTACGCTACCAATTCGTTGGCTGCGCCCCATCCCCGTCCCGCTCCCCATTCCATCTCCATTAATCTCCGAGGTCCCACCGCCTCTCCTCGTTTCACCTCATTCACCCCACCACCCGTGTCCCTGTCCCCGTCTCTCTATTCCTCCCCATCTCCCATCCCATCCGTCCATCGCCCATCTCTCGCGTGTGGGAGCCGGATTCACATGCCAGTTCGGGATGCGCTCGTTCCCCTCCTTGTCCGGGCATTCGTTCGGTCGTTCATGCATGCATGCGCCCCCACTCGTACTTTCCACGCCCCCGCTTATTCGGGAAGGCCGATGGCTTCGCCGCGCCTCCATCGCTCCTCCCGCTTCGTCCTTCGACTTCCTCCTCCCGCTTTATTCTTGTCTTCTCCCTCTGTCCTATCCTACCCGCTCTCCGTCCTACCCGCTCTCTCCTGCCGTCCTACCCGTCGTCCGTCCCGTCGTCCGTCTCCACCATCCCTTCTCGCTCTCGCCTCTGCCCTCTCCCCTCCGCGCAGAGCGCTTCTGTTCGTCCTCCGCGCGCATACATCCACCATCCCTGCTCCCCGTACTTGCCCCCCTCCTGCTCCCTCCCCGTTCTTCCGCCTTTGCCTCCGTCTTCGTTCGTATTTCCTCCGTCCTTCGTCCTCCGTCCTCCGTCCTCCGTCCTCCGTCCTCCGTCCTCCGTCCTCCGTCCTCCGTCCTCCGTCCTCCGTCCTCCGTCCTCCGTCCTCCGTCCTCCGTCCTCCGTCCTCCGTCCTCCGTCCTCCGTCCTTCCTCTTGCCCTCCGCCCCTTCTGTTTCCGGCCGCTCGCTCGGCCCTTCCGTCCTGCACGAGCACACATCCACCTTCGGCCCCCGTACTTACCCTTCCCTCCCTTCATCTCGTTTTGCGCGTCCCATCCCATCAGTCGTCTGTCGCGGATGATCCAAACGGCGCAGCTTGATGCGGCCGTTTCGGTGCCATTGAATACGCACTTTTGTGACCTGGCTCTATCCAGTCTTTCTATCCCCCATTAATTACGTAGTTGTAAACTCCGTGTGCTTACTGCTTTCGATGCATTTTGAGGTGCAGATTGGGATGAGAATCTGTGTGCCTTTGTGTTGGTTTTTTTGCTTCTAGAAGTTAATTGGGTTCTACAGCATGACGGGAAACCGGGGGCGTGAGCTCGGCTCGAGAGATTTTTAGAGGTGAGGGACGATGGTGTACATAAACAGCTGGCCTGTAGTACACTGGGATACTTCCTCAAACCGGCGTTCCTGAGCGGGACCGTGCCGTGGAATTCTACCTACGACGGTCCTACGTACCTACCTTCTCGCCATGATGATCCCAAGCGGGGCAATTTAAGCGATCAAATCAACCTTTGACCACAACATCCATCATGGTCTTGACTCGTCGAGCGTACAAAGCCATCTCACGGTGGCTTCCCAATGAAATCATCACCGAGATAATCCGGGCTGCGCCGCAGGCGGATCGAGCCTCTCTCTGTCGCGTGTCCAAGCTTTTTCACGCCCTCTGTCTGCCCGTTCTGTACCGCGTCGTACACGTCCAAACTCGCGCCTCCGCCGAGGCTTTTGGCCTTTCTGTTCTGTCAGATACTGCGCTAGGCCCTCTAGTCCGGTCGTTTAAGATAGATCGCGGGTGTTTTGTCGGGTCAAAGTGAGTCGTTGAGCTATATACATATGAAATCCGTTTAATCGATGACATGTCTCTCCCACAGGCTGTCCCCCCTAGTACTGGACGTGTGCAAAACACTCTCGAACCTTGAGGATCTATCGATGCCCCTTTCATCCATAGCAGGTCTTGGGGAGCTGCTGCTCTGCACATTTCCCCAGCTTACCAGATGCAATATGGGCTCTAAAGCCTGTCTCGAGTGGAGTTCTAAAGAGAAAGACGACCTGGTAGCCTTCCTTCTTCGCCATCCAGCATTAGCAACCCTCGATATTCTGGTAGGCTGTCCCTTGACGCCGAAGACTCTCATTCCCCTGGTCCATCTGCAGCAGCTTAAATGCCCAGCCGCATTAGTTCCTTTCATCGTTGCCCACAATTTGCACGAGGCGAGGCTCGACTGGGATCACCGTGAGGGCGGTGTACCTAACGAGGTCGAGAAGACTATCGTTGCACTCAAGTCGATGACACACACCAATGTCCCGTTTGTTTGTTCCATCGAGGTTTTCACGCTTCAATTTGCGGAGATTGTGGACTCCATATCGAGGAATCTACCGCACACGAAGACGTTCCGTCTAGCGCTGTACACCAGCCTGCGTACTGTTGGTGGTTTTCGATGTTTCGCTCGCTACATCCCATTTACTTCTATTTAATTCAGCCACAGGAACCAACTGATCAGGTCATGAACTGTCTTCCGCGCTTTACGGGCTTGGTATATCTGTCGCTGGAATGCTGGCACCGGATTCTCGATAACAAAGTTATCCACACGCTCCGGGACACCGAGGAAGAAGATCAGCAAACAGTTCAAGCATTTGGAGACGTGTGCCCGACATTGAAGGCGTGTCGCTTGAGCGAGTAACCCTCCACATTTTTTTTTTGCAGTGATGCTGACATTCCAAAGATCGAGTTGCCTGGAAGAATTCCAACGGGACGTGGAAGAAGTATCCAGAGCAGGATTTTAGAGAGATGGCCGGCATTTCCGGGTTTCTTTTCTGAATGAATCCATACTGAAATTTATTATGTCGGCTGCTATACTGTATAGTGATTTGCCTGGCCTTTATTTTCCTCGAGTCGCGCGGGAAATATTTTCGGTCAACAGAACACATGTATCTGAAATGCGACAGAACAGTTGGGTGTGCTCAGACACGGCGCAATGGCTGGAAGCTTCCGAAGAACTGACCAATCGTCTTTGACCTTTACCTTCAAATCAACGCAGAATTATTTGGTCTCACAATTACAAGCATGAATCATTCTACGCGTCGGGGCTCCTGGGCACTCTTCGCTAAATCCAGCAATTCGGTGCTGCGGTGCATGATACAGAGAATAAAATCGGGTGGTACATGGTGCGCACTTTCTTCCCTTTCAGGCTCCAGCATCTAGATCCAGCCTAATAAAAATGATTTTAACATTGGCATGCAATTGATTAGGACATGCTGGAGCCGAATGTTCCGGTCTTGAACAACTTCGCGTACATGATGGAAATAATACGACCTAGTGGTTAACTTCAACATCGTGATGGTCACGGTTTGGCCGAATCGGATCACAAGCTGAGTTTAAATGTGTCATCAAAACAATCTTCGACCACAACGTCCACCATGGTTTTGACTCGTCGAGCGTACAAAGCCATCTCGCGGTGGCTTCCTAACGAAATCATCGCCGAGATCATCCAGGCAGCCCCGAAGTCGGACCAAGCCTCTCTCTGCCGCGTCTCCAAGCTGTTTCATGCTCTGTGTCTCCCCATTCTGTACCGCGTTGTACACCTCCAAACTAGCGCCTCTGTCGAGGCCTTCTGTACTGCAGTTCTTTCAAATACCGCCCTTTCAGAATTAGTACGGTCGTTCACGTCAGGTTTTGGCAGGGGACCATTCCACTTACGGTGGGTGATGAACTTGAACCCGTCCGTCCATGGTCAATTTTTTTAACCCATGGCATGTTTCCTAACAGGACAGGTCATCTCGTCGTGAAATCTTCTAAATCCCTGCTCCAACTCCAGTGTCTGTCTGTCAACATTTCGTTGTTAGAACAAGAACATCTCCAGGAGTTATTGCGTTCGACATTTCCCCATCTTGTCCAGTGCGATCTGGGTACCCATATCTACCATTGGACTTCAACAGAGCGAGAAGATTCGCTCGCATCTTTTCTTCTCCGACATCCATCGTTGGAAACCCTCCATATTCAGGACTGGTTGTACGGGCAAATACAAGTCTGGCCCTCAACATCAGCTCGAATCCCGCTGCGCCATCTTCAGAAGCTTCGGTGTCCCGTCAGAATCGTTCCCTCCATAGTTAGCGACACTTTAAAGGAGGCGAGACTCGACTGGTATGATGCTGAGCCAAATGAGGTCGAAGCCATTTTCGTTGCACTGAAGTCCATGGCACGCATGGACATCCCCTTCATTTGTCGAAACGACAGCGGCGACAAGTTTG